AAGGCTTCGGTGGGTTGGTTGACTCGGCGGGCAGAGTATATGTAGATGTTGAGGCGGCTTTGGCTGTTGTCGAAGCGGTTTTATCGGCGCTCGTCGAGGCAGGGCCGCCTTTTGATCGTGTTCGTGCCATAGTACGGTTGAATGAATGTGAAGTCCAAAATCCAAAATCGCCCTTCTATGCCTATCGCATTGGTCCAAGATAGATGCCGCAGGTAGATTTCTTGTAGTATAGTGTACGGAGAAGAGTAGCTGCTTAAGCGCAATCCCTGCAATTAAAAGAGAAGACGCGTCACGGCCGTTTTAAGACGCGTCGCGCTATAGTGCTTCCACCCCCTGTCAAGCGGGCGCACTAAGCTAAGCCAGCTTTTCGCGAATTCCTCCCACTGGCATCACACCCGCCGGACATCCCACACCACACAACGTACCCAGAACACACACCTTATCGACCCAGCCATTGGGCTTATCGGTTTTCTACAGCGGCTTTTTCGATACCTCTATTGGAAAGTAAACAACATAACTCAATCCTGAAAACGGATTATCGCCTGGTACATGATCTTCTGCAGCCCGCCGGCCATGTCGTTCATGTCCCACAGTAATTGGTCGATATAGCGGGCAGTAACCCTGGCACAGCAGGAGCTGGCAGAGAACAACTCTTCCTGCATATGCGCTTGCTCCTGCATACTACCTACTACATACATACATCTGTCCCGAATAAACAAGCCCAAGTTCACCTCACCCACCCTCTCCCGACCAAGTCCCAAGGAATAGTTGGTTATTTGCGCACATCGAAATCCACGCCAAGGCAGCCCTTGACGCAGTCCGGCGTGCGACTACCACCCCCCCAAAGTTATGGCCGCCCAGTGGCCCCCGAGATCGCCCCGCGAAGCCCTCCTCAGCACTCCCGGCGGACGAGAAAAACTGCGTCGCTTGGCTGACCGCTCCTCTCCCTCACCATCACCCTCCAAACTCCGAAACTCGCGATCGCAACCATCCTTGGGAATGGGCGAACAACCAATGTACGACGGCGCAATGGACCTGGACGACGAGGAGGAGGATGAGGAGATGTTGCAGCTCAAGCTTCAGGCGATCCAGGCAAAGCTGAAGCTGAAGAAGCTCCAGGCGGCAAGGGCACACAAAAAAGCGTCTTCCCTGTCAGAACCTGGGCCACAAAATGGAGGAGCAGTTGGAGCAGGCGTTACGAGAGAGATTCCCTTTCAGTCAAGACTGGCATTGGCCCGGGAAAGGATAGAAAGACCACCAACACAAGCCCCTGTTGAAGTTCCAGCCTCTCCAGTCCGGAAGTCGGCGACAATGTCGAATCTGGACGCCTCTCCGAAACGAGTTCTGCTAGGCATTGACAAGGGACGAAAAGCAACCGAGATGTCACTGAAGCGACCGGCAAGTCAGAGGCAGTTGGGAACCAACAACCACCAGCAGACCCAGAGCGGGAGCGGCATGTCCAACTTTCCCCGGCGCGCGAAATCACCAGAAGCCGCCCGCCCTCTCAGTTTCAACGAGCGTCTTGCTTCAGCCAGGACAGAGGAAGCCGCCCGTCAGGAACAAGCGAAGAGAGTCCAAAAAGCGAGGAGCACAGCGTTCAGCATTGGCAGGCAGGAAATGGAGGAGTATAAAGCCAAAGCGGAGGACTTGCCAGAGGTGCCGTATAAGCCGGATGAGCTCTCGCGAGATCAGCTGTTGTCTGCGCTTGGGAGAACAAACAGCACTGCCACTGCGCCTACCGGTGCACCGACGGGATACCTGAGGAGAAGTCGGACTGCTTCTGACTTGCGCAACACCATCACCACGAAGAACCCAAATGCGGACTCGTCAGACTTGTTTCTTGGCCCGTCATCAGTCAGCTCGTCGTTTTCTGCCCCGGCGAACAACAACAACAACAACGCGAGTGACTCGTCTTTCGAGATCTTTTCTAGCTTTCACCTCTCTAAACGGATATTACCCCACCCTGTTTTGGCGAGGGCGGTTTCGTCAAAGAAGATATACCAGCTTAAAGACCTACTCAAGCACGTCAAGGCCCCTGATTGGAGTCTGCCGGATGTAGAGTCGGATATTGTCGTGTTTGCGATTTTGGCATCGAAATCCGACCCGAGGTCTCACCGGCCCGGACCGAGCGGGACGCAGTCTGATAGGGGGAAGTACATGGTGCTCACGCTGGTTGATTTGCAGTTTGAGGTCGAGCTGTTTCTCTTCAACAGCGGGTTTGACCGGTTCTACAAACTGACGCCCGGGACGGTGGTGGCGATTCTGAACCCGAGTGTTTTGCCGCCGCCGAAGGGGAGGGAGGATACGGGGAGGTTTGGGCTGGTGATTAATAGTGATGAGGATACGATCTTGGAGGTGGGGAAGGCGAGGGATTTGGGGTACTGCAAGTCGGTGAAGAAGGATGGGCAGCTTTGTAATGGGTGGGTGAATGGGAGGAGGACGGAGTATTGTGAGTTTCATACGAACGAGGCGGTTAGGAAGGCTAGGGGGGGGAGGATGGAGTTGAACAATACTGTTGGGAGCGGGATGGATGGGGCGAAGAAGGCTAATTCGAGGGAGTGGTATGGGAAGAAGGAAAAGGATGTGAACCAGGGGTATGATAGGTTTACGGGGACGAAGTATTTTGTCAGTAGGGGGACGGCGGATGGGGATGATGGGGATGAGATGGGGATGGCGGATCGGGTGGAGAGGCAGGAGGCGCTGAAGAGGAGGTTGTTGAAGAGGGAGAAGGAGAGGGATATTGCGAGGCAGTTGGGGAGTTGGGGGGGTGGGGCGGGGAAGGATTACATGAGTAGGGCCGCTGGAAAGGGGGGGCAAGGAGGGGGGAGTTTTACTAGTTCGACTGTTGGGTCTTCACAAACACAACCGCAGACGGGGAGCTCGGTGAATGGGAGTGGGAGCTTTGGGTCGACGGTGGGGACGAGTTTTGGGAGTTTGGATGGGGGGGCTGTGATGGGGAGTCAGCAGAGGGAGAGGAGGTATGATGCTGCCGCGTTGGGGTTGACGGGGAGGAGAGGGCAGGACGCGCCGAAGGTGGAGCTGGGTCCTGTCAAGAGGAAGAGACCGGTGTCTTCGGCCAGTAGCTCGACGGTTAGTACTATGAGTGCGAGTGTCCAGGGGGTGGCGGAGAAGGCACAGCCAAAGGTGGCGTTGGGATGGGGATCGGGGTTGACGACGAAGTTAGGGAGGATGAGGGAGGGGGAACGCCTAGATGGGAGAAAAATGGAAGTGGAAAGGTTGATTGCTGCTTCCAGGGCAGCGAGAGACGACAAATCCCCAGTCAGAAAAAAGACGAGATTTGTAACGGAGAAGGGGATACGAGAGGCGGGGAGGGATAGTTTAGGAGAAGGGTGGGGGGTTTCGGTTGGCAGTGGGACGGCTTTGCCAGCGGCGAGTGTGTTGAGCAGGAGCAGGAGGCGGGTGATGTTGGATGATGATGATGACGATGATTTGATTATTGTCAAGTGAAAGAGAGGAAGGGGGGTAGAAAAAGATGTTTATGATACAGCACACACACAGTAGATACACAGCGCATCCGTGGGCCGTTATTCTGGGTTTGGGGGCTGGGTACATTTGTTTGTATACTACGACTTTGCATGTGGTTGGCATGGCGTTTGAGCTTTTTGATGTTGGGGATTTGCATGGTCCAAGCATTGTTTGGTAGAGCTTTGAAGTATAAAGCAGAGTGTGCAAGCGTTGATGATGTTTTCTGTGGACTGTTTACTTGAGTGCTCAACTATGTCTTCTGTGATTTGAGGTTTGCTTGGTGACCCCACGTCGTGGACAAAATAATACAGACTGCAACGCATAATGAAGGGCTTAAAAGATGATAGAAAACATATTCGACTATCTTTTCAAGGCCTTTGGGCTCTCTTTTCAATGCCTTTCGACAATCTGTAAAGGTCGATTAACTGTGACTGAATACCTATCATGTTGTCTTCAAGTCCTGTTGACGATCTTTTCAGGCATACTGGCTATCAGTAAAGGTCTATTTCTTTTCTATCCGCAGCATGGTGACTTACTCAGGAAAAGTGACAACCTGTTGACTTCTCTATACTTCGCCAGGTACACGTTCAGGCACCAACGTCATCCGCGGGGGTCTAATCTGCATTTCTATCCAGCTCCCAGTCCTCTCCCACAGCATTGAACTCCCCTCTCAACATCATGTGAGAGTGGTCACAAGGTCAGTTGGATTTTTCCTCCTCCTCAATTCAGCGTAATGATTGGTTACTTCATCGCACTGTGCCATAATGTACCTACTTGGAGAAGTTGGGGTAAGTAAGACTCGGGGTTCTTCCAAGCTCTCTGTATGGTGATGACGATGTTGACTTTCTGCGGGGTACCTGTAAAACCAAGGCTGTATTCATTTGTTGAAAAGTATCTGTAAAGGAAAATACCTAGTAGGTATAGACATCGCACAAAGACATACGTGGGCTGTCGAAAGCTGATGATGCACTTCCTAAGGTATGCTCACTATACAACATAATGCTTCCGATATATGAGAGTATTCTCATGCCAGTGTATGCTTCCTCCATGCTCATGCCATGCTGTCATGCTGTCATGCTCTAGTATATCCCTTGAGACCGCTTGCTATACCTGTTTCCCTTGCCTTGTTGCCAATGACACCCAAACACCCCTGTATAATACAAAACTTTAACCTGATAACCTCTATCCTAGACTGAATCCCCAATAATGATTACCAAACATGAATAACAGTATACCCTAACAAACCCCCTCCCCAAACCATACCCATAATCCTAACCCATCAACTCATTCAAAATATCCCTCACCACCGGCCCCCCCTTAGTCAACATCCTCTCCCCAATCCTCTTCCTCCCCATCGTCGGCTGCTTCGACACCCCCCCCCTAATATTCTCCTTATTCCTATCCCCGACCCTATTCACCCCCACCCCCCCAGCAACAAACCTCTCTATCAACTTCCTCCCCTTCAACGGACTCTCCTCCACCATCTTCTTCACCACCGCCGACCTCCTCACCGGCGTCCTCCCCTTCGCCGGACTCAAATAATCCTCCACAAACGAAAAATAATGCCCCTCAAACTGCTCCCTCCCCAAATCATACACCCACTGCCTCTGCACCATCAACTCCACAAACCGCTTGATCATGTCCTTCTCCCCTTCTTGTCCCTGTTGTTGCTCTGACCCCTCCCCCAAAAGCGTCTTCTTACTCCCTACCACCAATAACTTGACCTTCGCCCTGGTAAACGCAACATTGATCCTCCTCCAATCCTTCAACAACTCGCCAATGGAGCCAGAGTCATTGCTGCGGACGAGAGAAAGTAAAATAACAGACTTGTCCCGACCTTGAAAACGATCGGCGGTGTGCATCTCGACATCTCTCCCCCCGGTGCTTCCCCTCAGGTGGTACTTCAGCAGCGCGAGCGAGAGCGGTAGTGAGTCATTACTCCGATTTCTTCCGCGGGGACACCGCACAAAACAAGGGAATCGACCAGCTGGGTGATGATTTTCGCTTCGGTGGGGTTGACGATGCGGTTGCCTTTTGCTTGCTCCTGGCTATCGGGGAGGAGATCAGTGTTGATAAACTTGACGCGGGTGGAGGGTGTGATGAGATCGTGTAGCCAGCAGCTGTTTGGTTTTGGCGCAGGGCAGCAGTGGGTGCCGGCGGGGGGTTTCTGAGAGAAGGTCTCCGCGTCATGATGCCGCTGCTTCAGATGTTTCGATATGAGGAACGTGAAGTTCCGCGTTGCGAGGGATTCAGTCCCGCATTTGAGTCTGCCTTTGTAGATGAGCGTGTTGGAAAGGGTCATGATGTCTTCTGACATGCGGTATTGATGCTCGAGATTAACCACCGAGGATGGGTGGGCGTCGGAGAGGAGTTTGAAGAGGGAGACATCAAGACCACCAATCCGGGCCTCGTTGTTTTGGACCAGAGGCGGGAGTTGGTTGTGATCACCGACGAGAACAAAAGTGCGGGCCATTCTGATCGGGCCAAGGCAGATGGGCAGGGTGATCTGAGATGCTTCGTCCACAATACAATAGTCGAATACCCGCTCGTTGAAGACGGGATGGTTGACGCCTAGACAGGTGGTGGCCACCACAGGGGTGCCATGCCAGGCTCTGCGGATCTCGTCAAACGAGGACATGGGTTGACTGGCGAGAGTAACAAAGTCGCGAACCTCGGGGTGAACCTTGGCTGGCGCTCCCAGACGCAGAATGGGGATTTTATCGTCTTTCAGCTTGAGGAGAATATTGTCCACAGCGGTGTGGGTGTACGACGTCAGAAGAAGCGTCTTGCCTTGACCGATGAGAGCCCGGATGATGTGCGCGATGGTAGTGGTTTTGCCAGTACCGGGCATGCCCAGAACCAAAGCGTAGTCCTTGGCACTCATCACCTTCTCCACGGCTGCCTTTTGGTCGACGTTCAAGCTGTTCTTGCCCGGAACCGAATACTGAGTGGGAGCAGACTTGAAGCTGGGGGGTATCAAATCTACCACAAGCTGACGTATCCGCTGAAAGCCCCGAGGACCATTCGTCATGATCTGAACAAGATTATTCCGCACCGTCGCCATTCCGTTGCTGAACTCGTCCTTGTCGAGTCTGTACCGAATAGGGGGCTCTTTGATCTTCCCCTGACTTTGTGCCGGAGCTGCCCCCTCGGGCGCCACCTCCATGATACTCGCAAACACCTGATTATCCACCTCGTCGAACCCAGGCTGTCGAATGCGGGCATTATGTAATCTCCTGTCAACCGCCACGCTAATCCTTTGCTTCCTCACAGCCGTAACGTACCCCAACGCAAGCGCGAAATGCCCCTGCTCGTCAGACACAACAATCGGCTCTCCAACCTGAAGCTGCGAGTCCATGAAAGAAAACCCAGCCGCCGGACTCTCCTTGATAAACGTGTACGTGAACCGGTTAATCTTGGCCTGGTTTTCATCCTCAAACGCCGAGCCCTCCTCGATGATGACATTAGCAAAACATCGACCGACCTTCTCGCGTTCGGTGCTGACCATAGTCCAAAGCTCGCGGCGGAGTTTCTGACTTTCCTTTTCTTCCTTGGTCAAGAGATCCTCCCACTTCAAAAAGAACTCTTGATGCCTCGGAGAAAGATGTTGAACGGCAGCCTCGAATTTCTCGTTCAGCCCACTCGTGTCGCCATTTCCACCATCGGCAAGCTTATGGTAGATGAAACAGGACGTCCGAGCATAACATCTTTCGCAAGCATTCTTGCTTCTCTTCATGGGCGGTAGCTGAACACTTCTTTCGCGGATATAACAGGCCAGCGCGTTGCGCTGCATAATCATATGCCGAAGCTCATGTCTGATGGCGGGAATTCGGAGAGTCTGCGACGTCTCCATATAGTACAGAATACCGTAGGCGATTTCAATATCGTATCGATCCGACAGCAACAGATTGTACAAGACAGTTTGAGCCTGGTGGTTGGCGGTGGCGTTCTTTCCGGTTTTGACCTCAAAAGGTACAGTCAACGTCTGTGAGACATTGCCTTCGCGCATTGTGACCTGCACTGTCGCATCAATGTTGCCTTTGAGGCCATACATGGGAGACCAGACATGCTCCTCAACATCCAAAAGCTTGCTGACACACATGTTGATCTTTTCGCCGTTTCGTCCTTGAACGTTGGCATTCGCCTGGGGTGCCGCAGAAACAAATGCCTGGGCCCAGGACCTGAGCTCCGGCATCTTCGAAACAAGATGATTGCGGGCATCGTCCATGCTGACCTTGATGACATAGATATCCTCCATGTGCTTCTGGAGCGTCTTGTCGATGACATCCCGCAGATAGTCCATAGTCCATTCGTTGGCCATCAGAGCCGCCTGAAACACCTCGTGGAGAATGGTACCATAGACCAGAGCAGGCGTCGCTTCGCTGGTTGCCTTGACGCGATCCTGGAGGACAGCACGTCGCATGCACGTGAAAGAATCCGCAATCACTGTCGAGGAAATGAGCTGGTCTGGGTGCAAAATGATGATGTTGTGGTTGTTGTCGATGATGCATCGGCGAGAAGGCTCAAAATCACCAATGATATGAACATAGGCTTTGGGGTTGGCCTGTGTATCAACCCAGTCACCCCTGAGATGGACCATGTATGTTGTCTTGGTGCCCTCATGCTCTACCCAAAGGACCTATTGTTGTCTTAGCGGCATATAATCACCTTTTCTGAGCACATGGCATACCTTTTCCTCGGATTCACGTCCACGGTCATCGACATAGGAGCTCTCCAGCACATTTGTAATCAAATACCTCTGGATAGCTTTTGGCTTTTGACTTGGCTACACCAAAGAAAGTCTTAGCATACCTCGTCGCGGTGTTTTCATATTGGCTACCGTATGATACGTACATGTGTTGGCAGGGCGTGGGCAGATGCCCCTTGTGTGGCGGCTAGCTCCATCGCATCAAAGTCGGCATCATCAAAATCATCGTCATCAAAGCCACCCCCATATGCACCATCATCATCATCCCCCCCACCGTCATCAAGAACGGGCTGGGCTTGCTGCTGCGCTGGGGCTTGACTTTGGGAAGCATGTTGTGCTTCTATTTGTGTAATGAGATTTTCTGCGCCCTCCAAAAAATCCACATCAAAATCATCAAACTCGTCGTCGTCGAATTCGTCAGCTGCGGATTTTGGCTGTGGTTTGGCGCTTGGGACTTCCTCCCTTGGAGGGTCGACCTCTTTCGTAGGAAGTATTGTAGCGTCAAGCTCCATGAGAGTATCATCGTCGAAATCGTCATCGCCGTAGTCCGAGGAAGTCTTACTTCTTGCGGGGGCGGCGTCCGGGGCGACTCTGGAGAGCTTCTGGGCGAGTGGAGAACTTGTAGGAGGTTCTCGTGAAGGAGATCGGCTTCTGCTGGTGTCGACAGTTTGCGATCCTTGTGAGGACGACTTTCGGGCTTGGACCTCGAATGATCTACTAAGCTCACCACCAACGGTTTTCAACATTTCTTCAACCATGACCGATTTGGACTGTGAGGCGTTCGTTCGGGTGCCAAGCTCTGTTTCGTCCAGTCCCCCAAGCTTCCGTCTCTTGGGCCAGTTCCGGCCCAGACTGAGTGTTTTCCTCAAAGACCGTTGGCTGCCAGGTGCCATCCCATCCCGGGCGGGGCGAGGAGACGAAGACACCATCAGATCGGCAGGTGATGGATTCGCAAGGCGAGATGGACTAGCGTCTGTCCCAATAATGTTGTAGGAACCCCAGAGCGCTGATGTTGGGTCGTCACGAAGAGGTCCGAGGCCTTGGTAGGTCTTCCTGACACCAGCGGCGGGTGTGGTACCCTTGGTGATGGGCGAAGAGACTGGCGACGAGCTTCTAGCACGCCTTTTCCGATTTTGATAGAGCAGTATAGTCGATATTCCAGATTCGTGGGGGTTAATGTCGTTTGCCCACATCAGCCGTTCGCTAGGGGAGTCCTCTTGGTCGGCTTTTGGGGCGGCTTTTGGGACGTCATCCAGGGAAGGCGAGGACTGAGGAGCTACTTGTGGAATCGAGTCGACGATCTCTTCTTTCTTGAGGAAGTCGACGGTAGAATCGGACTCGGCGGCTGACTCGCAGTCTTTGGCATCAAACTGAAATGCCTTGAGCTTGGTCTTTGTTTTGGAGGAGACCCGGAGGGCAGGTCTGGGTTGAGGAGGGTTGGGGTGCGTCTTCGATCTTTGCCATTGCGATCGCTATTCACCTGTTAGTTACCATCTGCAATCATGTGGGGTTGGGATGGAAGACCAACCTTGGAGGGTAACTTGTTGCTGTCCGAATAGGACTTCTGTAGTGGAGGCATGGTATCGTGTGGTAGGGGCGTCACCACATGGATGATATAAATAAAGACCAGAAAAAAACACAGTGCGGAAGTGGGCAAGACAAAACGAATGGAGGACCAAATTGGAGATGCAAAAGTGTATGGAGCAAAGCCAGGTTCAAAGTATCTAGCAATTGAGTCGACAGGACTCGTCTGTGTCTTGTCCTGGTGGCCCGGAGACCGGGGGGAGGAAGTGCCTTTTTCGACAACGCACTTAGACGGTACGCGTCGGGGTCGCGTGTGTTGACGTGCTGCCATGCTGCCCCTCCCAACATTTGGCCAGGTACAATGCCACTGATAAGATAAGCAAATACCAGGGGTCCCTGGAAACTCCACAGAAGCTGGCAGGGACAGCTGCCCCGTGTGCACCACCAACCCCTCAAGGTTCCTCTATTTTGAAGATGGCTGAAGACAGTGGCTGCTGAAGGTTACCAGAAAATCTGGGACACATTGCAAACGTCAAACGCTACCGATGAAACCCACCAGACTTGCATCGCCGAGCTTCTAGGGTCATTTCTCGTGGGCGAATTTGAGGGGTTCCATGTTGAGGGGAAATCCCAACCTCCACTCTGGTCAACCTCGTTTCGCGCACCAAACGACAGCACTACACCATGGACGAATACCCAGCTGGCAGTCTGGACCATAGTGTTCCGTTCCTGCTCACACTCGGCACATCTGGCGATCCAACTTACCAGTCAGGCCTGAGTGCAGTGCTCAAGGAACAGGCCATCCTGATCCGTTCCGAGCTCCCACCTCTCGATTCAGACCAGGCGCATGCCCTCTTGCGATATATCCAGAACCGCGATGCGTCAAACCTGCCCTGTAATGGCCGAGATGCGCCAAAGAAGCACCGATTCCACGTCAAGACGGCCGAGAGGGTAGGTGGACGATTCCGCGCAAATGTCTATCTTGTCCAAGATAGGGACCTGATGTTTATGTGCATACCTAGTCAATACTCCTACCGCCTCGCCGCGCGCGCCTCCCAGATGGCATCGACATGCCCTCACCAACTGCTGTGCTACACTCTCCCTACTCTCCCCTGAGTCCCATCTCACCATTATACCCCGACGGTCTGATCGATACGCAGTGGATTCGCAAACACCAGGACCTCGTCCCCAGTGTGTTACTGTGCTTCTATACCCTTACTTCCGACCCAACACTTGCGACGCTTAATGACAACAAAATCAAGACGGATGTGAACAACATCAGGGCCCTTCTCAGCCAGTCCGGCTATAAAACGCGCTTGGCTGTTGTGCTCTTGAGTGACAAGACATCTGCCTCAGGTGATCATGTGCAGGACCGATTGGAGAGTCTCCGAAGAGGATGTGGCATAGATGCAAAATCTTTGTTTCTTGTACCGCCCGGTGATTCGAAGGAGGAGCTTGAGCGCATGGCTGAGAACATGCTGACAACGCTCTACACAGCCTCACTGGACTACTACCGGGACCTTGGGAGGCATTCACGGAAGAAAAGGGGCAGGGGAGTGGCACCGCAGCCGACGGTACCACCGACCTCGGGCACATCACAAACACTCTCGCTGGCGGGATGGAATGTGCGCTATGACTTTAAAAGCGCCGTATTCGCGGAATATCGGCAGGAGATGGATGTTGCCCTAAGATCATATGAGCAGGCCTACGAAAACCTGCTCAGCTCGGAGCTGATGGAAGTGATTCCAAGTTGGAGTCCACGGTGGAACGAGGCTAGGTTTCTCGCCGATGTCTTGGCTGTGCGCTGTCTTCGATGTCTGTTGTGGAACGGTCAGCACAGCGCGGCTGCTCGACGATGGCAGTCCCACCGGGAGAGGATAGCCGACTTTCTCGACCGTCGAGGTCGGGGCACCGGAAACTATGGATGGGAAGCTTGGGAATCTCGATGGGCGCTTCTCATGGCCAATCTGATGGAAAAGGCCAGCATCCCCGAGTTGGCTCCGGTGACCCACAAGCTGTACCTCCAGCCGGAGAAGAATGTGATGGGGGAGCGGTTGCAGCCATGGGAATTTCTGCATCACACGGGATATTGGTATCGTCTGTCGGCAAAGCACATGCAAGCTAGGAGGGACTTTGCACATGCGATACCCGAAGACGATAGGAGGTCTCCAAGCATGTCGCCGGCGTCTTTTGTGGCCAAATCAGCGTTTGCTTATGACACTTACATGTGTCCGGATCCTTTTGAAGAGTATCCTCTACATCGTGGTGGCTTTGATCACGGCCGGTTTGTGGTGGAGAGGTTGATGAAGGCACGTTCGGAGTTTCTCAAGCGGGAACAAGTACGTCTGGCCGCAGAAGTGTCCCTGGAATGTGCCCGAGAACTCGGCCTGGCTGAGGAGTGGTCCGGCATTGTCAAGCTGCTGCGTCCGTTGTGGAAAGACTTGCCATTCAGAAGTGAGGGCTGGACCACAATTGCGGAATTGTTGAGCTGGAATCTCCGGGCTGCCGCAGTGGAACTTGACGATGCTGAGTTGGTGGTGACTATTGATTGGGAGCTGTTGAACCAGAGTACGTTCTTATGGCAGGTTCACGTTTACGTTGTGTTGACTTTGTTGCAGCTTTCCAAAAACGTCCCAACTGGGAGTATGACATTACCAAAGCTCTTGACCAAATCGATACCGAGTCCAAGCCAATAGTGTCTCTAGCCGACGGTCAAGTACTCCCCTTCATCTGGACGTCTTTTCTTTTCCGAGAAGAGGAAGGCAAAGCGGGCCAGAACGTGCGAAGTCAGCTCACGATCAAGTCCAATGCGCATCAGGGGTCCACTCCTGTCTCTCTGACCAGTCTCTACCTCAACTTCAGCGGCAGCTTGGACCGGGTAGTTATAGAGCATGATGATGCTGTTGCGGTACAGGAAAAGAGGGGCAACACATCAATATCTTCGGTCCCGCTAACGCGCGATGATGCCGAGGCCGAAGTCACAGACCTGGGCGCTACCAACAAAAGCGTCATACTTCAAGGCGCTGCTGACCTGACGCTTGCCCCTGGCCAGACTTTGGTATTCAACCTTGAAATTCCATTACGGGAACCAGGCGAGACGGAAGCTCAGTCATTGGTGGTGAACCTGGACACTGAGGAGTTCGACTTGCACCATGAGTTGAAGTTTCATCAGACGCCAAAAACCAACTTTTGGTATCTTTCTGGCTCTGCCACGAAACGCATTGCGCGTCCGAATCCACTCGCGATCAAGGTGCAACCTAGGCCACCGAAGCTGGAGATCAAGTGCCCGGTCTGGAAGGATCAGTACTACACGGATGAGGCCATCGTCCTCGAATTCGAGCTCACCAATGGCGAAGATATCGAGGCGCTGGCCAAACTTGATGCTACACTGTTTGGCGAGAATCCCCCAGCGTTCACTGTTGATATTGCAGGCCATGAGTCTCAGACATCATCCAGTTCCCGCAGCGAAGAGAGCAAACTGATAGGGGCACCCCTGGGCACCATTGAAAGCTCCAAGACCTCATCAGTTCAACTTCGACTTCCACCAGTTGATCGCTCCAGCCAGTACGACCTCACCTTGAAGGTCACTTACTTTCTCCCTACCAACCCTGGTACGCCGATCACCCAAACTACGACGTTTCAACTCAACATTGTCAACCCGTTTGAAGCAAACTATGATCTCCTGCCGCGGGTTCACCCGGATCCATGGCCAAGCTTGTTTGATGCGGATGGTGTCCGGAGTGCCGCTCCAGACGATGACGTTCCTTTAGCCTTCAAGGGTCTATCTCAGTCCTGGTGTCTGTTGACTCGTTATGCCTCCTTTGCATCAGAGCCACTACGGGTGGTAGACATCGACGTGGTGCTGTCTTCCCTCCCATCAGTCAGATGCCACGCAATCAAGCACAACAATCTCCCCTCCTCGGGCGAAGGCCGACTAGTCGCCCCCAAAACCATCGAGGAAGCAGCCTTTGCGCTCAAAGCCCAAAAGGCCTCCCTCGACGAGCGAGGTCCATCACCATTGGACGTCTCCCTCGTCATCAAATGGTCTCGTCCGGAGGTCTCGGATCAAATCAACAGCACTACTTTACCAGTGCCACGGTTCAATCTGTTTGGTACGGAACCGCGGGTTTTGGCGACGGTCTCGCATATGTTTACACCGCACCCGTTGGTGGTCTTGACGGTGTATATTGAGAATGCGTCGAATCATCTGTTGACGTTTGGGCTGACGATGGAGCCGAGTGACGAGTTTGCGTTTTCGGGGCCGAAGCAGACTAGTCTGAGCTTGTTGCCTGTGCAGAGGAGGGGGGTGGAGTATAGGTTGGTGCCGTTTGATGATTTGGGGGAGGTGGGGA